CCTGCCGTTTCTTTCATTTCACAAGAAAACCAGTTATGGCTTGAGAAGATATATTTCCAGAATACAACTACTGTTGACGCTATAGCTGGATCAGTCGCACCACCAGATTGGCTACAATTTGCGCTTATATTAACCGTGGACCGTGGATGCTAATTGTGGTATTTCTGCAATTTGGAAAAGACAAGTGATGTGAATTGTGGCGGATTTAATGACAAGTGGATTGCATCTAATAGCTAGAGATTATCTAGCTGTGATATCTTTTGTGTGATATATGCATTGTTCGCCAAAACGATGATGTGTGCTGCTGCGGCAGCAGCAGCAGGGGATTCTCCCCTCATCGCCGTCGATAGGGCTGGGTGTCAGGGTAATTTCTGGAGCAGGAGCCGATCTCTCCATCATTGGTTCGGGTATGGGTTCATGTCCGACACCCGGAGTCCAGTCGGATTGTCGGACTCGGTACCAGCTTTTACTCTCAGGACGAGCTCTGGCAGAAAGATACAGACGGATTTATACCACTGCTATCAATGATAAAGAGCAAGGGATAAATCAAGGAAGGTGAGTAGTTAACGTAAAAAAATATAGCTAGATTTCTAAATGGATGGGTTGTCATTTGTAGGGCTAACTTAGCGACTGGCCGCAAGCTAACATTAACCCTTGCTCCAACGTTACGTCAGTTAACATCAGCTGCACCTAAGTTAGCCAACTGTTATTTATGGTTCACTAGCTAGTCGGGCCGGTGTCATATAAGGTATTATTTCATCTACAAACAGTGTGTCAATGACTTCACAATTTGCATGCACATTTTTAATGGGGATCAGCATGCTAGGTGGCATTTTGGCTTTGACTTCCCTAGCATATCCAGCTAAGCTAGCTAACGTTATGCTGGTTTAACGTTACCCTTGTGCGGGAGGTTTACTCTGGGTGCTCTTGACATTTAATTTGACCTAAAATTGAAACATTGTCACTGAAATAAAAATACAAAACTAAACTAAACTATCGGCTTAGTTATATACAAAACAAGTTAGCTTGCTAGCTGTCATAACAGCAAGCTAGTCAATTGGTTTTGAGTAACGTTAGCAGTTAATAGCTGTCATCCAGCTAAATGTAAACAAAGCTACTGCTTGTTTAATATTACTTTTTTGATAAATATTTGTAACCACTCATTACTGGAGTTATCATTATTGTTGACATTACCCAGTCATGTCATATAATTGAATGTATCGTTACAGAGCTATGTATATTTAGGCCCAACGGCGTCACAGTTTCGATAGCTAGCTAACGTTAATGAGTGTAGAGGAACACCATCACCCCTTCCCCATATTATCTCAAAGTAAGTTTTTTTTGTAACGTTAGATAAATTGATGACAAAATACACATTTCACCGTAACTATTGCCCTTGTAATTACAACTGCTTCAAACATTTAGACGCGTTTGGAGGTGAATGAACTGAACTTGCTGTTCTGGCATATGAGGGTAATACAGTTACGTCATTCTAGTCAGTGAGATTGTAGACTAAGTAGCTGGGTCATTGCAGCATCATCCCACACAGACTTATTTGTTATCCTCGGTC